GAGTTTTGTCAGGTGGAAAATGGTTTGTGACGCTACAAATACAAAAGATGCATCGCGAGCGCATACGGAAAAAGAATCAACTGGAAACGGCAACGGACAACAGCACCGAAAAGTCGATCGGATCGGAAGCACATTTACACACTCGTACACGACATTGTCGTGCTCAGATCAATGGGCATACAAATATTTCATTCATGAAAATCACGAGATTCGTGCGAACCAGCACTCGGTTTTTTATTCTTGTGCATGTACTTTTGTGTGTAATTCCACATTTTTTTCTCATTGCCCTCGAGGAATTCCACCGTGTGTGTTTTTGTTGCTGCTGTTGCTGCTGCTGCTGCTGCTGCTGCTGTCTGTATTCACGTACTTTTGGTAAAGTGTGCGGTCTACTGGTTAGTGTCAGCCATATCCGCATGAAACAATAACAAAAGAATCATTTTTACATGTTTTTTTCTACTCTTTCGCTCTGTGTGTACGCAATAAATCATCGGAAGCCGCTTAAATTGACTGGAAACGAATTCCGATAAACATTTTTATCCACTTTAAATCGGCTTTGACTTCGGAAATTATTCTGAGCCGTATGTATGCGAGTGTAAGGCAGATACTTCAGCAGGGATTATCTTTTCAACTTTGCGACACTTTTGTGCATTCGATTGAATTGCAACTGTGATGAATACTGATGCGATTATGTGCTTCTCCAATCAATCACTCCATCGCTCGCCGTGAATCATAAACAAAGCCAATTCACTTATTGCCTTCACCATGTACCGTTTGCCATCTATATTGCTTCGAACTTTTTCAATAATAAAATTCAGTCAGCCCATCTCATCATCGTATGTTGCTATAATTTCAGTTTTATTATTTTTTTTCTGTTCAAAACTTTGGCCAGAATGATCGCTGCCGCCATCGTCGTCGCCGCACTAGCAGCAGCAACAGCAGCACCCATAACATGCGTGATGAAAGCAATAAACCAAAGCGCACAGCCACAAATTTGCCCAAGCAACGACGAAAAAAAAAATAACAATGACTGAACGCTCGTAAGTTTGAAATGGCAAAAATTACAGTGCGTATAGATGATGTGGATGCCAAACATATAATTTGCTCATTAAACATTTCTACGTTTTTTTTACTGATGAAAAGAAGAGACGAAGAAAAAGAGAGAAAAAACACAAAGAGAATTGGTTAGTATCTTCGTTCACTGAACCAGTAGTTCATTTTTTGGCATTTTCGGTCAAGTCAAATTTTGGCTTTAGCAGTCAAATTTTGTTTTCGTTAACCGCATGAATCGAAGAGAATAATGAAGTGCATTTTGATAATGTTTTTTCAAGCATTTTAATATAGGCCACGAGATATGCAACACTTACGCGATACTTGAGCGCACCCAATCCAATCAACTTGATGTCAATAATTTAAGACTTTTTTTCAACAATTTCTGACTGTTTCGTGAACGTTCGCTTCGCTCGCACACACATTTCATCAGAATTTATTCAAATTTCGGATAATCCGTTAGCGGAGCGCACTAACAATTACAATTTTTAACTGGTTATTCACATTGTGTGTGATTTTTTCGTCTGCCAGATTTTGTTTGTCGAGATTTAATATTCACTGTTCGGTTCACTGTATTTATGGATTTATTTTTACTTTTCAGCAACAATTTTATGAGTTTGTTGATAAAACACAACAAAATATTAATGTAAAATCGGTGAAGCCTTTTCGAACGTAAACAAAATGTGGCCGTTGCGTAAATTAGACGTTTCGTTTGGAATTTTGTGGGCGGTCAAAGAGAAGCAAGCATTTGGTATTGCGTATGCATTGGCAGCGACCGACGAATTTTTAAGCCAACGAAACCGAAAAAAAATTAGATTATTTTTTAAACGGTTAATGGCATATTTTTCGCAACAAATATTTTCGAACAGCTCATTTCCTAAGCCCAATATTTTCAATATATTTTTGTTTACCATGTAATTTTGGTTCATGATTGTGTTTACTTGTTTGCTTTTTTTCTGTATCAAACCAAGAAAATATAGGTAAATGTGTACAATTTTGAGGGTTATGCAGTATTGTACGGTAGCTCTGGGGCAAATAGATGAAAAATCGCTTGTGAAATGCATTTGTGCTGACGAAATGAGAGAGAGAGAGAGAGAGAAAATTATATTGCGACATGTGTTGATCTACCAAAGAAGTTTTTTTTTCTTTCCATAAGTCCATCATTACCCCAGCAGAATGCAGAATGTCTTCGATAGACGCTTTATTTGAATACGCACAAAAAAAGAGCCACGCAGTTTTTTTGGTTCTTCTTTCTCTCTGACAAAGACTCAAATAAATTGCCAAACAGATTTGGCTGTAGTTATTACGATTAGCATCGCACTACATTTATCTATCGGATTGGCCCAAAGGCTGCGGCATATGTTTTTCTCCCATTGGCAACCAAGCAAATCAAGTAGATTATATGTATAGCCACAAGAAGGAGGTGATGTGTGTATGCGTTTGATATCACGCATTGGCGCAAATTTTGCCGAGATTTGCGAAAAATATGTTTGCAAACCCATCGAATGCATTAAATTGATTGAAGCTCATTAATTTGATAAATTCATACACATACGCAGCAACAATACGTCTAATGTATTCCACCGAGCTGTTTTGGTCAGTTTACAATTTTGCCATATTCTCGGTTGCAAATTGAAACGAATGAAAAATCTTTTACGATTGCTACAAATTATGGGCATGTATTGATAAGAATAAATCTTTTTCGTTCGGTTCATTCGAATGTGTGTGTGTGTGTATGTGTCAAAAGGGGAGATGTGACCGAAAGTGTTTTATGGAAGTCTGTCGTATTTGTCGATGTAATCTCGGCTATTTATTCGATTGAAAGGAGCCAATTGTGGAATTGTTCAATCGTCCAAATTAATTTATTGATTAGAACTGCCGGCGAATGATGAATGTGTGTGAATACTTGCTGACGAGGGAGCCGGATTGCAGTAAAAAAGAGTGGAAGGGTTCGTATGAGACACGTAATAGACACTGATGATGTCCATGTTTTTTCTACTAAAACATCCAATGTTGCATATTCAAATGACGATTTACGTCCATAAATTTTGAAGAACTCGCCCGTTCGCACGTCATGATGGAAATTTTTAAACGGTTAATCGAAAAATACAGTCAATGTTTTACGCTCTTATCTCTCGTTGCCTAAGACACTTCCTATGGAACATCTTACCATATCTCGTATTCGAATTTGCAATTCGTTCCATGAACCAATGCCATTTGTGACGAGGCCGATGCAGGGAGAGACGAAGAAAAAAAATGGTACCGAAGATGAAAAACCAAAAACCACAACACTCCCACGCATGCCAGCTCATAAATCATATAAATCACATAGAAATGTCAATGAATGTTCAATAAATCATCGGATATTTGACCACCAAATAGAATTATACCGGGGGAACTACGGGGGAACTACGGCATACGCATCATGTGTTCGACACTTGCTCGCTCTCTCTCTCCCTCTCGCCCTCTCTCTCGCCGGCGCGTAAGCACATTTTAACGATTTAACACGATGCAATGATATTGGATAGATTGCGTTGCGAAGGGACACAAACTATTGCCCATTTTTAGTATCTCACAAATCATTGCAGCAGTGGCATTCAGCAAGTCATTCGATTTTGGTGTTTGTTTTGAATTATGTACATTCAATACTATGTCTCATTTTATGTTCACATGAAGAAAACGACTTTTAGCAAATCCTCTTGGTGTTTTCTCCTCGGCATAAATACCTTTATTCATATTGCACGCTGTTCGGATTTGAAAAATGAACAAAAAAACGTATAATCTTGACGAAATGTACAAATGTTTATCTCAGCATTCGAAATTGGCCATTCGTCAAAGTGGCTGCAAAATTATAATAAAAATACAATCTCTTAGGCAACTTGAGGCATTTTTCTAGCATTTTGCTGTCAAGTACTCTGTCGAGAAAGATAGTGTGATGGAATAAAGCTGAATTGTATGTTTAACTAAAATTCAAGTGGCGTGCACGAAGTCGCAAAAATAATTATGATGAATTCGCAAACATGTGCTGGCACTTCGATTCTATTTTATTTATCATTGCTCGTTCTATCTCATCACTGCTCGAGAGAGAGAGAAAAACAAAGGGAATATTGTAGCATGAATTAACAATCGTTTGTTTCATATCGTAGAAATTCGGATCCGTAATCCACTTGAAATTCACCAAAGGATGTCATGGTTTTCGCATCGACAGCCACAGAAGAATGCTCAAGAATGAAATGAGCCTCAACCTCTCGACCACATGAACCGAACGTTCCGTTTGTTATCAGTCGGAAGAATATAACTCATATTTCTAATATGTTGCACGTTTCACGCATCACAAGTAAGGTCGACCAACAAAGAACTGAATTATTAATTTATGAAATATTCTCCTCTTTGGGTCACCTCATGTTTGAAAAATATAAATGTTATTTGAATTTGATTTGATTTGACTCTTTCAATCCCGAAGTTTCAATGTTAAATTCACCGGATTCTGACTTTGTGTCCGATAAACAGAATCATTAAATGATTCGATTGCTATTGTTGCTGAATCCAAATATGTGTGATTCATTTCAAGTTCAATGGAAAGTTCTTGGCCAATGACTGCACTTACGAATCATTGTGAAATTACGACACGTTTTTTTCATCGCTTTTTTGGTCATCTAAATATTTATTGTCAAAAGCAAAACAACTCTTTTTTTTGTAATTTTAAATCGTCAATGTGACTCAATCGATCGAAATATTTTGATGATTAATACAGATGATGTCTATTATGTACCGCCATCGTTTATTTTTAAACCATATCACAATCACTTGATAGTGAAATCATCACGAAATTGATGGCGAAAAAAAAAGTTAATTGCAGAAGGTTAAACAAGTGGGAAGTACCTATTCAGCTCGACCATGACCATCGCTTCATTACGGATATATAAAAGGATTCAAACGAATGCTTTATTCAGAACACATTAAATCTTTGTGCAATAACATTCATCTAGTGAAGTGATAGCGCTCTGAAGTTGAAAAATAAATAGCAACAAAGATAGAGTGATATACCGAGTTTTAATATTGATAAAATTTGATTTGAATAAATTAGAAGACAATTTACAATATACACAAAATAGTTCGTTTGGAGTAAATACACAAGTACAATGTTATTAAAGGTATGATTTTCAATGAGAATAGGTTCGATTCAATAGGCTTTGTGATTTTTTAAAAAATAAAATGTAAATAGGTTCCATGACTCTCTGTGACACAGTTACTCCTTTGGAAGATTTTGAATTATTTTCCAAATATTTAGTAGTTTTACCGTTTTTTTTGTGTGTGGAATGTTAAAAAAGTGTACTTTTAAAACATTTATCCGTTTGAATACAGAAATGTGATGAATTTTTTTTCTCTTTTTCACGCCCAAATCAGATTGCATCAAGTGTGCTCGCAGTTTGCGTGGTATCAGCTTTGGCGGAAACAAATACACAGTATTCACAGTATGGTCAATATGGTCAATACGGTCAATATAATCCATATGCGTATTTGGGCTACAACACGTACGGTGGACTTAACTCAGGATATGGAACCAATGCATATGGATCGGGAAATACCGGAGGATTCGGCTATGGTACTTATGGAAGTTATTATCCTTATGGAACAACTTATGGAAGCAATCCCTACTACACCTCTTCATCATATGGAGGTGCCTATAATCCTTATAACACATATACAAATGGTTATTATGGTTCTGGTGGCTGGAATGGACTGGTTTTTGGAGGCAAAAAATAAACTAATCCACTTGAACACATTAAACTCTAGGAAAAATTCAATTTAATTGAATTTTTTTCAAAACAAAATCGCACATCGATTACAATTAGAAATTGTCGAAAATTCGCTATTTTTTGGCGTAACATACAATTAATGTTAGCTTTGTTGTTAAGTATTTAAGACGTTGTGTTTTAGGAAGAAAAGAAAATAAAAGAAAATTCTATAGAAATGTGTGAATAAAGGGTTCGTTTGAAGAATTAACAACTGGGCCAGGCGATTATGGTTACGAATTTAAATTAAAACTCTGCACCGACGATTCCTCATAAATAAGATTACACGAAGAGCACAGCAAATGTCATGGTTTTTTCTTCTGTTCAAACGATTGCATATCTTAATGTTACGCAATAAATACCGAAAAGCATATGTAATGTTTGCATTCTAATTCGTTTGAATGAACAAATAATCAGTGATTTATACCTGTCGTTTAGGCAGTATATGAAATCTTCTTTGGTCTTTAAATTTTTCGGTTTTCCCTTTTTTCTGCGGTTCTGGATGCTCATCTTAAGGCATACGCAATGCTGTGTGTGTGTGTATGTGCGCGCTGCAGCTGGCAAAGGAGTCACATCTCCTGTTGTGATACACACATTCCGCATTGTCATGAGTCAGCATGTGATTTGGGAGTGCGATTCACATGCGAATAATTTACAAACAAATCGGAACACTGCCACCAACACCATTGCCGCCGCCAAAAAGTCCGAAGTTTATCCCGAACGCAATTATTTCGCGTAAATGTCACCTTGGACACAAAGCACAATGGCAAACACAACGACGTTATTGTCGTGAGTTATCACAATTTTTGGCTAGCACCAATTTTCTAAAGCACTTGCAACAGCAACAGCACCAACGCCAACAACGATGCAAATAATTTAGTGGCGGAATGGCATTTACTTCATTATTATCATTTGAATGAACGCCATAAATTGTCGGCGACAATGTTGAACACATTCAAGTAATTTTTCGCTTCGAAAGTGATTTAACTCTTCGCTTATCGCTTGGAATGGCAACGCACGAGAGAAAAAATTTACATATTTCGGCCGTTTTCATATCGGCGCTCATCTTGAGAGCTCAATTTCCGTTTCTAAGACAATATCCACCGATGTACCGTTTCGGTAATTCGTTTGACTAGCTGCACGACTTAGTTGTTTGTGTGATGTGTTTGTTACTTGTGGGTAGCTCTTGAGCTCGGTGACATTGGTTTTTTTGGTTCAAAAACGTTATATCCCATGTAAGACGATTAAAAGTGGAATTTATCTCTGGCACATGCAAAGCACACATACGTATGTGTATCCGATTTGCCGTTGCGGTTCAGCATTCAGAAACGGATTTCAAAAGAGAGGAAAAATTCTTCAATTTTTCATTTTGGCATTGTCCTTGTGTCGAGAGAAACCAAGACGGAGAAAAAAACCGCACGACAAAACGAAAGTGAATTGAATGGAAGTGCCGTGCCAACAAAACACCACCCGAGACAAGGAACGTTGTCAGTGATACGGGATAATATATGGTAATAAACAGCGTAACGATTTGCACAATGTTTGTGCAGATTAATTGACTCATGTTGTGTGTGTACGTTGTGCGTATGTGTGTGCACGGCACAATGCTAGCGGCGGTGAAACCATCAAAACAAACCTAGAGGGGGAATCGAAAGAAAGAAAGTGATAATAACATTGCCGTTCATTTGTTTTTGGGTGCGCGTTTTCAGTTCATCAATGAAAGAACATGTGTGCTTCTTGTAAAGTCATCACCATTTGTTCGTTCATCTTGTACGGTTTATTTGCTTTAGTCTCTTTGCATCCGGAGCACACAAGGAAATGCGTAATTTAGTGCCACTTCAGTCGCAATGTACAATGTACATTGTACAATCGTACCATTTTCGCATCGCTTTTCAGAACCAAATTCACATGTGAATTTTGGAATGAAGGCACTGACTGCAGAAGGTCGGCATTTAATTTACGGATGTTGATTTTTTAAACACTTATTTTTTTTCAAGCGATTGAAATTTGGAACTTGGATTTTTTTTCCATACATGAATTGAATATACATCATGATTACATGTATAATTCAAATCCTTGGACAGTAAATACTTTAAACTGATTCTGTGATTCTTTTAATAAAAATGGTTGCGTATGATTTTCGATCCATTTTTTGTTTATTTTTACCAAAAAAAATCGATTTTTTTCTTCAATTTAATAAACATTCACATTAGCAGAACTTGACGTCAGTAAATAATCATATCAAATTTTATGTCCAAATTAAATATAAATTTCTCAAAAAAAACCATTGTTTGCGCTTCATTAAACGAAAAGTCATCTGTCATCGGTATCGCATTAAGAACCGAGCCGAAAGGGAAACACATTTGAATTTGTCGTCGCAACTAAATTGCGTTTTGAGTGATTCACCATGCTTTGGCAATCATTTATCAATTAGGTGTTTGTATATCCATTTCTATTAAAAATTCCGAAAAATTTCCGCTTGACTTAACTCAGCCATATGCCGATCAGTTTGATTCACACAAACTGCATCACATCTTGCCTATCGAATCGTTTCATCTAATTTTGAGAGCGAAAATTTAAAAGCAATCATCCGTGCTGGCACAAGCACAGCAGCTGATTAAGCGTTCCTTATTGAAAAAATCGTGACGTCCTGCAAAAATTATTGATTTAACAATTTCCATTCGCCACACTGAACAATATGAGTATCTGTCTGCTTTCGTTTTGAAAATTATTATCAACGATTTTTTTTTGTTCGTTTGTGTGTCGTGTCCCGTTATCATAAAAAATCATATTTCTTGCATCACGAGATTTGGCCGGTCGAGTGAAAGTAAATTCGATGCCATATTTTTTCGCGTGATCACAGGGAAATGTGTGGGTTTTTTTTCCTGTGGAAAAAAGAACGGTAAAATTTGCTACAGCTGAGGATATTTAATTAAATTGAAAAAAAATGGCTAAGAAACTAATAATCTTTTTCATGCATGAGAACGGCTTTTTTTCTTCCTGTTTATATTTTATCATTCCGAGTCATTATCAACTATTTTTTCTTTTGATTTTACACACACGAAACCCTATTGACTTTCTAATGGGCCAAAAAAGAAATGCGCTGATGAGGTGATTGATGGCGATTAGGTGGAACCTAACAGAAACGGTTTTGATTAAAGAATGATACGGTCCCTTATCGGCTCATGTTCGCACAATTTTACCATGCAACAAAGGTACCGTTAACCACTTGTGAACCGTTAAATTTTTGACATTTACTAACAAATGGTAACCACACTGTGGTTCTATTATGAATTTAAAATTATGAAGCATTAATACTCAAACCCTTAAAATGTGATAAAATGACTATAAAAACATGAACATTTTTAATCACCAAGTGAAAACCCACAAGATTTTCATGAGCGAAAGTAGTTTAAAATGAAACCAACTATACCAAATGACCTGGCTCCAACCAACTACATCCAAAATCCGAATGCACCACTAAAGAAGTAGGACGATAAATCGAAAGTATTATCATCATCTCAGTGCATTACATCATTATATATTTAGTGCATCAACGGCATATCAAGCATTAAAACGGCCTTTCAAATGGTGTTTTTCCCTTTTCCTGCTCTCGTCTGCCGATGAATCAATATTTTGCAAAACCAAATGGCTGGGCAAAAGAGAATGGGGGAAAAAGCGTTTAAAAAATAAATATAAACCGCGCATTAAGTACACAAATCGAATGTTTTTCAGCATTGATTAAACGTTGAAGCTCATGTCATAAAATGGTTTTACTGTTTTCAAGGCGGGCGCAAAAAACCCGGTTGTGTTCGTTCAATTTCAGTTGTATTTTACACAGTGAGTTCAATTCATGTGGAAAAAGGTAGCCAAACAGCGATAAAACGGAAAATTAGAGCGACGATATGGACGCTTGGTGCAGTCAGCGGCTGCTGCTTCTGCTGCTGCTTCTGCTGCTGCTGTTGCTAATGCTTCTGCTTGCGAATGTAAAAAATGAGCAACACACAAAAGATGTACCCATCGAACAATGATTGAATGCATTAAAAGCATAATTTGAATATATATGCTCGTGAAACATCCGTGTGGTGCACGATTACAGATTCGACACCGACACTCCGTCGAGCGCACAATGCAAATTCAAATATAATTATCGCATTCAAACATTGGCAATTATCTGCACGCGATCTGTATATTGCTGATCGCCGTTTCTTTTCGATGCAAGGTTTTGTGTTAAGCGTTCGCCCGTTTAACTTCGACATGTGAAATGCAATGTAATTGATGCGTTCGACTCTAGTATTATCCATCGAAGCGGTTCCACCTTCTCTCTCCCTCTCTCTCATTTCCCCTTTTCGACAGTGCTGTTTTCTCATTTACTCCTGGTTTTCATTGTTATTGCTTGATTTTTTTGATTTTCTTCCACTGGATGCGTCGATTTTTATGTTCGCTTTTTGGATTCGTGATGTATTTGGCCGAACATCGAAACACTACCACTATGAATGAAAGTTTTTGTTCATCTCCAAAAGCGTCTACTGTATATATCCATCCGACCTTAACCTCGAGACTTAATTATTTTTGTTGGTCGGCCAAACGACTCTTACCTCCTGTTTAACATAAAATTTGCCGATGCTTTCTTCCAAACGGGCCGCTTTTTATGCATTTTGCACATTTTAAATGAGATGTTTCCCGAATTCCCCCTTTTACCGCTTTCCGAATATGTTGAATGTTCTCTTCCAAACAATAAAACACAATGCACAAGCGCCAAACGAAAATTTATTCAATCGCATCAATTTTCGAGGCAAAGTCCCGCTTGCTATCGCTACCAATTAAAACCAACATCACTTCATTTTATTGGCTACCATTGATACCGCACAAATGTATCGTTTAAACTGAAGACAAAAAAGAAAACGTGCAATTAAATCAATCACTAATTACGTTGTTATTCCAGCCTTTCTTCGGTTATCCATAAAGGGAATCCAATTTTTATTGGTACGGTTCAATTGATTTTTTTCTTTCAAATTGGAATCGAATCGTGAAATTTTACACACCCTCTCGCTTTTCAATTAAATAGTGGTGGTTTTTTGCGAACGATACATAATGCGAATGTTAAGATTTTCAATTTATGTTTAAATGCAAAGGAATGAAACCAAAAGGTCCTCAAGAAGACATTTTAATACTATAT